GCATAGTGAGACCCTGTCTCAAAAAGACAAAAAAAAAAAAAGAAAAAAAAGAAAAGAAAAAGATTTCTTAAAGGTGCCGTTCTTGTTACCTATTAATTTTCCAACAAACCACTCCAATAGGACCTTAAAAGAGCAATAATTTTTTTAGGTTGATGCTGCCATAGGTCAGAACAAGCTGTGACCACTGGTGGGTGACTTGTGCTCTACAGCCGTTGCCTGGGGTTATGCAGTAGAATTCCACTAGTTGCCTGGGTAGCGGCTCCACAATGACTCCATCTACATGCTTGGTACCTGGTAGAAATGGTTATGAGGCTGGGCATAGCTGGCCCCTCTCCCCCTTTATATGGGGCTCAACATTCCACAGAGCAAGGCAGGAACTATTAGTTTTCATTTCCTGTTTTTTTGTCCCCTGTAAGGATTGAACCCCGGGTATTTGCACCGAGCTATGTCCCCTCCCCTTTGGAAACAGGGTCTTATTAAGTTGCTAAATTGCCCAGGCTGGGCTCAAACTTGGGATCTTCCTGCTTCAGCCTCCCAGTGTGTGGAGATTACAGGTGTGTGCCACTGTGCCTGGCTACAGCTATTGGTTTTCTTAACTGTAGGTCTGGAACTGACATAGCACCACTTCCATTCAATTGTTCAGTCAACTCAGTCACAGGCCAGTCCGGTTTCAAAAAGGAGTATCCAAGTGCATGTAGTCATTTTTAACCTGGCACATTTCTATTTTCAAATAAATAAATATTCATAAGGAAAACAACCTAACATTTAGTTCCATATCTAGCTGGAAGTTACAGGCTTCTGATGGAAGTCTTAGCCTTACTTAATTTCAAGGAAGTTTTCAAAATGTTAAAAAGAAAAGAAAAGAAACAGAAACGCAAAGGTTGGAAGCTGGGCTGGGCCTGGTGGGACACATCTGTAATCCCCGCTGCTGAGGAGCTGAGGCAGGAGGGTTACAGGCTGGAGACCAGTGCAGGCCTTTAGTGAGACTGTCTGAAAACAAAAGAATGGAAAGGGCTGGAGATGCGGCCAGTGCTGCCTCCCTTTGCTTTCCAGTACCCCAAAAACAAAACAGAAGTTAGAGCGCCTATGTAAAGGGTATGCACAGCCCCTTGTATATATCCCATTTACTCATTTACTGATTTATAGCACAGTGAACATTGTAAACTGATTTAGGTCCCTTGAAACTATAATCAAAATTTTGTGTAATGTATCTGCTACATACACCTTTCCCTTTTATTTATTTATTTATTTATTTCTCTTTTTGAGACAGGGTCTTGCTATGCAGTTCAGGCTGGCCTTGAGCTCACTTTGTAGCCCAGGCAGGCCTTGAACTCGCAACAATCCTCCTGCTTCAGCCTCTCGAGTACTGGGATTACAGGCGTGCGCCACCACACCCAGTGTACCTTTCCCTTTTAGATCTTTCTGTGACAACAAACAGCTCGCTGTGGCATGAGTGCCATAGATTGGCAGTTTTCACTATTCTAAGGAGTGGGTTCCTAAGATTTTATTGATCTCTCAAAGGCTCTAAGGACCCCTCCTCCAATCAGGTATTTCCCTAAGCAAACTGGAGAGTACATAGGCTTGTTTCTCTCCCTTTGTAACACCTACCCTCAGGAAATAATGATGGTAATAGTTGCTTGACTTGAAAAAACCCATCATGACCCGCCTGTGTGTCTGGAGCAGTTCTGCGACAACACTCCAAGGTGGTGCTATTGTCCCTGGGCCTGGGACTCTGCCGCGCTGGCTTCAGAGGCGCTCCAGCAGTGAGGCCTTGTTCATGAGTAACAGCTCACTTGTAAACTGGGGACTCCAACACTCCGTTAGGGAAAAAAATGGGTTAAAGCAGGATAGTCCAGCCAGGCCTGGTGGCACACACTGTAATCTCAGCACTCAGGAGGCTGAGGCAGGAGCACTGCCTTGAGCCTAGGCTACATTGCGAGTTCAAGGTCAGCCCAAAATACATAGTGAGACCCCGTGAGACTGTCTCAAAATAACAGAATCTGGAGATGTGGCCAGAAAAAGAAAAGTAGGCCAGTCCATAGCTGTTGGGAAAGGACTGTGATTGCTAATGGATTGATTACTGACGGTCGGCTTATGATCCCCAGCCGTGCTGAGTGCACGTGGTGCGGGGTGTGGGAGGCTCGCCCGAGGATGGTTACCATCAGCTGAGAGGCAGAAATGGAAAAGATAATGAATTTCTCCTGGTCTTAGTTACGTGCTTGGTTTTAATAAAAGGCGATGGAGATGAGTGACCGGAGTGGCTGTCCCAGAGGCTGCAAGCCCCTGGATCCTGGACTTTTAGCTCTCTTGTTTTTCTTCTACTTTCCCTTTTCTCATCTGTGGGCACCTCGTTCTTGGGACCTGTCTCTACAGTTATTATCAACACATAGCCGCTTGCTTGGCACATCTTACAATAGGTGTTTAATAAGTATGAGCTCTTGTATTCCAGAAGCTCTGCCCGTTGCTGTAGAGACCCAACAGGAAATGGGTGGGAAAATTTTGAAAGTTTACAGCAAAAACCCAGGTACTGCTTTCCCCACTAAAATCTTTGACGGTCCCATGACTTCTCTTAGTTTTTTTTTTTTTTGTTACCGGGATGGAACTCAGGACCTTGCTCTTGGCAGGCAGGTGCTTGTGCCGCTGAGCTGCATCCCTGGCCCCCCCATGACTTCTCTTAAAACTGCATGTAAACATTGCATTCTATTCCACAATTCATCACTACCTACCGATAGAAAACGTGTTTACTCCAGCTGGAGTCAGGTTTTTATTTTTTTGTCTTCTTGAGACAGAGTCTTGCTGTGCAGTTCAGGCTGGCCTTGAGCTCACTTTGTAGCCCAGGCTGGTCTCCAACTCGCAACAATCTCCTGCCTCAGCCTCCTGAGTGCTGGGATTACAAGCGTGCACCACCACGCCTGGCTGGGATCAGTTTTTATCTGGAGCTGCACCTGGTGTCCCTTGGCCTTGGCCACCCCTCGGCTCCTTGAGGGGTTTAACCCAGCACCACAGGTGTGGGAATGAGGTCGAAATGAGCCGGCCTGGCTCTTGACTTCCATGTATGTTTAGCTAGACACTCCCACGGTGTTTCAAGGATCTGGATTCCCGCAAACACAGTCTTTCCTCCTGATACCCTCTTAGTAAACACAAACTGAATACCATGAGCAGGCCAACACCCCGCCCCTCCCCGGATCCCTCAGCAGCCCTGTGTCCCTGTCTCCCTGTTCTGGAACACCGAAAGGCTAGCTACTAGGTCAGCACGGAAGAGGCACCTTCTCCATATGCATTATTTATAGTGACAGTAGTTCCCGCGGGGTAGAACTTGGGTCTCGGATAGGTAACAGACCATGTCACCCTGACTTGTACTTGGTCTTGAGACCATGCAGCTGCCTTTATCACCCCTGGCCATCACAACTCAATTCCCAGATGTTGCACAAAAACCTACCTCTTTCAGACTGCAGATGGAAGTAAGTGTGAAAAAAATGACGCAGAGAGCTCTAGTTTGCGCTAAACACATTGCTTTACTTTACTACATCTCACTATGTAGTTCATGCTGGTCTTGAACTTCTGTGTAGCCAAGGCAGGCCTCAAACTTGCATTGATCTTCCTGCCTCAGCCTCCTGACTGCCGGGATCACAGTCAGGCTACATGAGGACGTGAATTGTTAAAAGGTTTTGCTTTTCAAAGACATTTTGTAGAGATTACTCACTGATGTGAATTGATTTTATCTATATGTTTCTGTATAAAGTAGATATCATGATAAATTAAAAATAAACAAATAACTGCCTCGCCTGGTAGTTTGGGAACAAAAACTTGTTTGGGCTTCACCTTCATCACCACCACTACTACTATCGTCGTTTTTCCAGAACTGGGAATTCAACCCAGGGCTTCGAACTGACTACACCCCCAGCCTCTTCTTTATTTTGAGCCCTGGTTTCATCAAGTCACTAACCCTGGGCTCTACCTTGGGGTCTTCTTGCCTCGGTCTCCCAGAAGGCTGGGTTACGGTTGTGTGTGACTATGTCCTGTACACATGTTCATTTGTCAGATGAGCTGAGTGATTGCGACTAGATAATTTTACTGAAGCTCTTTTTGCCCTGGAATTGTGCAATATTGCCTTTTAGCCTGGTGGTTATCAAATTTTGGGTTTCCTCTTATTAGTAAGGCAAAAACAAAAAACAAAAAGCCCAACCAAAACCAAAACCAAAAAAACCCCAACCAATTTAGTGGGTTAACTATTAAAAACAAAACAACACAAGAAAAACACTGATTTTGGATAAAATTCTTTCAGAATAGCTATTTAGTGTTATGTACATGTACCAACGCCTAACCACTAATGTATTATGAACATATACCTAAAAGAAAAGTAGCTATATGGGCTCTGTGAAATACACACCAAGCTGGGAAATACATACCAAACTGGGTGTGGTAATGCATGCTATAATCTGAGCACTCTGGGAGGCTGAGACAGGAGGATCGTAAATTCAGGCCAGCCTGGACAATTTATAGATTGGGCAAGACCCCACCTCAAAGTTAAGAAAAGGGGAAAACGGGGAAGGGGGGGGGCGGCTGAAGATATAGCTCAATGCAAAGGCCCTTGTTCAGTCCCCAGTACTGACAAAAGCAAAACAAAACACCACCAAAAATGTTATCTTGGCTGGCCTGGTGGTGTGCGCTTGTAATCCCAGCAGTCGGGAGACTGAGGCAGGAGGATCGCGGTGAATGTGCTGCATAGTGAGATTCTGTCTCAAAGAAAAAGTTATCTCATTGCGGGTGATGGCAAGCACCCTCCAGACGTGTAGCCGGCAGAACTGCGGTACCAGGCTTTACGCGGAATCCGATCTCAGACCCCTTACTCGGGTGTGCCGGCCCAAAACCCCGGCGCCAACCCAGATACATACCACCGCGAGCGCCGCGTGGCGCCAACCCCCCCCGCGCCCCGCCCCTCCCGCTCGGGGCGGGGCCGAGGGGCTGCGCGCGACTCCTGACGTCATCGCCGCGCGCCGCCGCCCCCGCCCCTTCCACTTCGCGGGAGAAGTTGTTGGCGCCAATGGATCCCGAGCCCCGCTAACGGATTGCCTAGCCCGCTGTCCTGTCCGTGTGCTCCTTGCTCCTGGGGCTGCGATGGTGAGCCCCTGGGGCAGGCTGTGCGAGGCGGGGCCTTGGGAGAGTTTGCGGGCCGGGTGTGGACGGGCGTTCCTGGTGGGGAGGGTGGGGGAGCGGGGGCTCGAGGGGGCCGCACGCCGGGCGCCGGCACACGACTTTCCCGGGACCGCGAGCTCGGCTCCGGCCGCCGCTCTGTGCGGGGTGCGGTGGCGCCCTTTCTTTTTTCTACTCTTGGGGGAAGGGAGGAAAGAAGACTAATGATTAAGCATTAAGGTCATTTTACTGTGCAGCGTTGCCCCAGACCTCAGGCTGAGCGCTTCCTAAAGCGCACATTTCAAGCTTTAGGTCCTCAGGACGAAGGATATAGCAAACTTTCTGTTCTCTTGCATAAGTTGTCTCAGGCCTTCGACTTTCATCAGCAGTTTCCCGAATCTCTCATCTCAGCCGTGTGCAGACCGGATGGCGTGTGGAAGGTGTTTTGTTTTGTTCGATGACATTGTAGGAGTTAAAGGATAATGCAGTTTACCAGGAAGAGAAGAATATAGCGAGTAGAAATACATAATGTTTGACAGCTGTCATGTCATATCACCTAATGTGGAAAAAACTTGGGCCCTTGAAACTCCTTACGCCGGGTGTGGTGGCGCACGCCGTCTGTAAGCCCCGCTCTCAGGAGGCTGAGGCAAGAGGATCTTTGCGAGTTCGAGACCAGCCTGGGCTACAAAGTGAGCTCAAGGCCAGCCTGAACTGCATAGCGAGACCCTGTCTCAAAAAGACAAAACAAACAAACAAAAAAACCCTTCAGTGCATTGTTTTGTATAAAACATTCAAACAAAGTGAGAGTGAAATAATTAGCAGCTGGTAAAAAAGACATGATGGCAGTGGATATGGTTTGAAGTATTTTTAAAGGACAAATTAAGCTGTTCCATAAACCAGAAGATATAAATCACAGTTTTTTTCCAGTTGTTCTTCAGCTTGCCAGAGTGCTAACATTCCAAGGGAAGAAGTTTTATGTCAAGTTTGGAAATTTTGCAGACCTATTTGTTTATTTAAAAAGGAGATATAATGCTGATAATATCCACCCTGAACAAACCACCTCCCTATGAGCTGTTTGCTTGTTTTCCCCGGTACTGGAGTTTGAACCCAGGGCCTTTGCACTGAGCTGCACCCCCAGCCTTTTTTTTTTGGTTTTTCTCCGGTACCGGGAATCGAACTCACGACCTTGTGCTTGCCAGGCAGGCGCTTTGCCGCTGAGCTAAATCCCCAGCCCCTAACCCCCAGCCTTTATAAAATTTTGAGACAGGATCTTGCTAAGTTGCCTGAATTTGGGATCCTCCTGCCTCAGCTTCCCCTAGTGCTGGGATTACAGGCATGTGCTTCCACGTGCAGCTTGAACTGTTTACTTTAAATACATTTTTCATTTCAATCCAGAACAATTTAAACAGTTTGTCATATAACTAGTAGATGATTGAACTGTAATTAAAAGTAGATGTTTGGTTGGGTGTGGTGGCGCATGTCTGTAATCCCAGCAGTAGGGAGGCTGAGGCAAGAGGATCATTTGAGGCCAACCTGGGCTACAAAGTGAGTTTAAGACCAACATGAACTGTATAGTGAGACCCTATCTCAAAAAGACCAAATAAAAGATGAAGAATGGGGTGATGTTTTAGTTTGATAGTTTACAGTTATGTTGGTGTTGGTGTATTAGTGTAGTTTAATAGGTATGTGGTTTTGAGTGAGTAAATAGTTTAATCTCTTAGCTTCTGTTTCTTTGTCTGTAAAGTGGGGGCAGGAGAATGATAGATACTGTAAATGTTTGTTTCGAGGGTTAAAAGTGGTAGTATATGATAATTTGAATTCTGAATTCTATGTGGATTGGCATGTATTATGCACCTGCCCAACTTCCAGTGACCTGTATTCTCAGAAAGGACTCTGCAGAAAGCAGCATAGATTTTAAGGAGGTTTGTAGATGTGTTTTGTGTCAGTTATGGTGAATTACAGCTTGTATGTCAATTTTTGATCATTTCGATAGTTTTTATTACTATTTTAAAATTGTTTTGGGGTATTGTGAGACAGGGTCTTGCTATGAATCCCAGGCTGGCCTCGAAATCATGGTGATCCTCCTGTTTCACTGTCCTGAATGCTGGGATTACAGGCGTGGGCCACCATGCCTGGTTTGGATAATTGTGGTTTTTTTTTTTTTGGTACTGGGAATTGAACTTCTGACCTCATGCTTGCTAGGCAGGCAGTGTGCCACTGAGTTCTATCCCTGGCCAGAATAATGTTTAATTTTGATTCTTTTCTTTAGTATTTCTGTTCATGATGCTGATGAAAAGCAGACCTCTTTGCAGAAAAGAAATAGGTCAAATTGGTCAGTTTTACTCTTTGTTATTGGGAAAAGTTCTAGAAAGTAGATAAGAAATTTGTATTATTTTGGTTGTATTTATCTAAGCCCTCTATTCTGTAGTACAAAAAAAAGTCTAGCAAAACCCTAGACTACAATACTATTTAACAAAGTTTTTTGAACCCTTCTGTAAAAGTTATATTACAGGATGGTAGTTCTTCTATTTAGGTCACAGTTCTTTCTGTTTTTTTTTTTTTTTGTTTTTTTGAGACAGGGTCTCGCTATGCAGTTCAGGCTGGCCTTGTGCTTGCTTGTAGCCGAGGCTGGTCTAGAACTCGCAAAAATCTTCCTGCCTCAGCCTCCTGAATGCTGGAATTACAGGCGTGCGCCATCCTGCCTGGCCATCATCTGGGATTTTGATAGGAAATACCTTGAATCTGTCGATCAATTTGGGGAGTATGGTGATTTTAATATTAAATCTTCTGATCCATGAACATGGTATGTCTTTCCATTTATTAGGCCATCTTTAATTTTAAAAACTTATTTTCAGAGTATGGATTTTACACTTTTTTTGGAGACAAAGTCTCATATTCCAGGCTGGTGTTGAATTTGACCGTTTAGCCTAGACTGGCCTTCAATTTTAGATCCTCCTGCCTCAGCCTCTCAGAGTGCTGGGCTCACATGCATGTACTGCCACACCTGTCTGAGTTTATAATTTTGTTAAATACATTCCTAAGAAATTTATTCTTTTTTGTTTCCTTTTTGAGATAGGGTTTCACTATTCAGTTCAGGCTGGCCTTGAACTCACTTTGTAGCCCAGGCTGTTGTCAGACTCACAGCGATTCTCCTGCCTCAGCATGCCAAGTGCTGGGATTACAGGTATGCACCACCATGCCTGGCTATTCTTTTTTATAATTCTTCATTTTATAAAGGAGTAGAGGTTTATTTGGCTCACCTTGATAATTTAAATGTAATTTAAAATAAATTTTATTTTAGGATCATTCATTGCAAGTGTAGAAATACAGTTGATTTTTGTGTATTGGTCTTGTATCCTTGCCAAATTTATTTGGATTTATTTTCTTTTTTCTGTGCTGGGAATTGAAGTCAACACCTCATACATGCAAGGCAAGCACTTTACCACTGAGCTACATCCCCAGCCCACAGGTTAGGTTTCTGTCACTGCAAAAACCCTAGGGTAATCAAATTATAAGGAAGACAGATTTATTTTGCATTCTGACCTCAATCCATAGTTGGCTGGTGGCACTGCTGTTGTAGGGTAGAACGTCATGGTGGGGAGGTGGGGACTGTGGGGTGCAGCAGAGCTGCTTCCTTCCGGATAGCTGGGGAGCAGAGAGGATAGACGACCTGCTGTCCAGTGTTCTCTTAGGGCACATTCCCTTGGAACCTGGCTTCCTCTCATTAGGCTCTGCTCTCAAAGTTCCGCCGCTTCCCAATAGCACTGATGCATGAGACTTGGGGATGCCAGACCCAAACTGGAACAGTAAGTTGTTTGTTTGTTTGAAGTGCTTGCTAGGCAAGTGCTCTAACCCTGAGTCATAGCTAGCCTTTATATTTAAGATTTTTTCATCCATGAAAAGACAGTTTTAGCTGGGGTATAGCTCTGTGGCACTGCGCCTGCCTGGCAAGCGCGAGGCCCTGAGTTCAATTCCTGGAACCAAAAAAAAAAAAGTATAAGAAAAGACAGCTTTACTTCTTGTCCGATCTAGGTGCCTTTTATTTTCATTTTCTTACCTAGTTCCTTTTGCTATAACCTCCATGATGTTGAATCAAGTGGCAAGAGTGGACATACTGTCTTTTTTCTTAGTGTTGGGGGAAAGACTTCCAAGAGCTTACATTTTGTTTCCAAAGTACAAGATCTTAATATAATTTTTAAATACTTTAAAATGATTAATTTTTTTTTTTTTTTTTGAAACAGGGCCTCACTGTATAGTTTAGACTGGCCTTGCACTCACTGTGTAGCCCAGGCTGGTCTCAAACTTCCAGACAATCCTCTTGCCTTAGCCTCCTGAGTGCTGGGATTACAGCCATGCACCACCTACCTGATTAAAATTATATCATAATATTTCTTTTTTTTTTATTTTAAAGAGTAAAAGAAGGATAGCAATAATGGGGGGGGGCTTACCAAATTACAGACAAAGTGGTAGGAAATCATCAATGGTTATTGTTTTACATATTGTTATCTACAAGATAGTTTCTCAATATATCATAATTTTTCTTTGTTGTTCCGCCACCAGCTATATCACTATATTTTATTTAGTTATTTATTTTACATCATTATATTTTACTAAAAAACAGTTTTCCATTTTAGCAGCTTTCACGATAAAAGATTTTTATATTTGGATAGATTTTGTGAAGTATGTTAGTGATGATCTCTGCTCATGAGTTTGCTGGGCTGTTTAAAAATATTAAACAAATATTTATACAGTGTTCTTTGTTAGTCTCAAAATAGAGAAGTAAAACCATTATATAATATTTTGGTAGTTACTGGGTGGGGCACTGTGGCACTTCCTTTGCATGCAAGCCTGTACCTTTCCTGCAGAGGTAAGTCAACGGTGACATGGTTTGCTCCCTTGAACATCACAGTTCAGGGCTGCGAGTGGGTCTTTCTGTTCTGCAGCGTTGAGGGCTGAGCCCAGGGCCTTGCACACTCGTGCGAAGCGCG